CATTAGAAATCAACAAATGAGATCGTATCAAATTAAATAGCTACACAGAAAAGGTAACAACCAAAAGAGTGAAGAGACAACCTGCACAATGAGAAAATATTTTTTCCCAGCTACTCCTTGGACAGAGAACTAATATCTAGAATATGTAAAGAACTCAAGAAAATTGGACTCCTCCAAATAAAAGACCTAATAAAAATGTCATTAAAATGAACAGACACATCTCACAAGGAGTATAAATGGCCAATAAATACATGAAAAAATGTTCAACATCTTTGGCCATTGGAGAAATGCAAATTAAAACAACTCTGAAATTCCATCCTTCTGCAGGAAGAATGGCCATCATCAAGAAATCAAATAATAACAAATGCTGGCTAGGCTATGAGCAAAAAGGAATCCTTCTGCATTATCAGTGGGAATGTAAACTAGTCCAACTACTATGAAAATCAGTATGAAGATTTCTCAGAAAACTACAACTAAAAATTCCATTTGACCCAGCTAGTCCCCTTCAAGGTATCTTCCTGAAAGAATGAAAGACATCATATTACAGTGATACATGCATATAGCAGCACAATTCACAATAGGTAAATCTTGGAAGTGGCCTATATGTTCATCAACAGATGAATACATTAAAAAAATGGTATATATATATACAACAGAATACTACTCAGATGTAAAGAAGGATAAATTTGAGTTTCTAGTAGAAAAATGGCTGCACTTTGAGACCATAATGATAAGTGAAATGAACCAGACACACAAATATCATATGCTTTATCTTACATGAGAACCCCAAGTGTAAATAATATGAAGTGCAAGGAAATAGGAAGATAGGTCCTTTATTGATCGAGAATAGAATGGAGAGTCTAAAAATAAACCCTCACATTTTTAGTCCAATGATGTTTTGCATTCCTTTTAAGAAAATTCAAAGGGGAAAGAATCATCTTTTCAATAAATGGTGTTGAGACCACTGACTATCAATATGGGAAGAAAAAATAACAGGATTGAGGAAAATGTTGGACCCTTAACTTGTACCCTACACAAAATTTACTCAAAATGGTTTACAGACCTAAGTATAAGGGCCAAACCTACAATTCTGAGGAGAAAACATAGGTGAAAATCTTCTTGACCTTTAGTTGCCAATGTTTTTTTTTAAAAAAATATGATACCAAAAGCATAGGCAATAAAAGCAAAAGATCAATTATACTTGATTAAAATTTAAAACTTTTGTGCTTAATGATATCATCAAGAAAGTGAAAAGAAAACCCACCAAATAGGAGAAAATAATATTATGTCACATCCATCAATCTATCTACCTACCTACCTATCAGATAAGGAACTTCTGTTTAGATTATATAAAGAACACTAACAACAAATAAAAAAGAACTAAGATGTGCTAAGGACTAGAGTAGATCTTTCTCCAAAGAATCAGCTAAACAAGTGCCCAATAAGTATATGAAAAGGTGCGGAACATCAATAATCTTCCAGGGAAGGAACATAAAACCATGAGAAAGCACTTAAAACCTAGGAGGATGAGAGAGAAGGGAGGATGGACATGATGGAGTTATATACATAGGCAGAAATGTCACAGTGAAACCCATTGGTACAATCTAATGTGTTAATAATTATAACAAAAAATGGAAAATAACAAATATTGGCAAAGATGTGAGGAAATGGGAATCCTCATACATTGCTGGTGGAAGAATAAAATGGTGTAACCACTGTGAAAAACACTTTGTTGGTTTCTCACTAATTTGGACATAGAACTACTATACAATCTCATAGTTCCCTTCCTGAACATCCAGTCAAACAATTCAGAACATATTCAAACAAAAACTTGCGCAAAAATGATCCAGGAAACACTACTCACAATAGCAAAAAAGAAAAGAAAAAAATCAATACCCATCAACTAATGAGTAGATCCATAAAACACAGTACATCCTTAGTTTGGAATATTATTTGGCAATAAAGAGTCATGCCACAAACCAGCTGAACCATGAAAATCTTATGCTAAAGGGAAAAAAATAGCCAGAATAGGTAAATCCACAGACACAGGAAGTGAATTAGTGGTTACCCTGGCCAGGGAAGAGCAGGTTATCAGGAGTGGAGGGATCATTGGTATGAGGTATATTTTGCAAGTGACTGAAAATGTTATAAAGTTGACAGTGCTGAAAGCACAAATCTGTGAATACAGAATCATAAACTGTAAACATTAAGTGAATGAATTGTCTGCATGTGAATTATATCTCAATAAAGTTGGCTTTTAAAATCCACTTAAAAGGAGAAAGTTCAAAAATACATAATTTTTTCTAAAATCCCTAAATCTCATTCTAACATTTTCTAAATATTTACTTAGGCAGGTTTCTGGTGTTTTAGATGTTCATATCCAATCCTTCTTAAAACCCCAAGTCATTCTATCACCTAGCACTCCTTAGATAATAACTTAATAACAGAAACATTGCTGCCAATACTTTCTTAGTCTAGTAATCTTCAAATAAATCAGTCATAAAAAGGTGATTGTGAAATAAAAGTCAAACATTAAAGTCACTACTTACATTGACCTAGGTCATGGATTTTAAAAAGTGCCTGTTTAGAATGACTTGGCATTTTAACGGCTTAACTTTCCTAAGTGAGAGGATGCTTGTAAGCTACAAATCAAGGCTTTCATTTTTAATCTGTCTTCTCTTTTAAATCACTTACTGAAGTGAAGTCACATTCTATAAAATTAAACTTGGGTGTATGTGGTGTCAAATATTAAACTTTGGTCCTGGATGGACAGGCAGAAAGGTACTGAGCTTCATGCTGGCCCCAAATCAGCCATTGTAAAGTGAAGAGTTCTGTGGCCTCTAGGACTTTCCGCAGAGTTGTACAACGACCACTTTTATCGTGTTCCAAAACATTGCACTCACTTTGAAAACATGGGGGGGGGGGGTTCATAGTGTTGGAATGTTTTGATTATTTGACAAAAATACTCCAACAATGAAAAGCATGAGTCTGGTCACTTTGCTGAATCCCCAGTGACCAAGAGGAAGTGCACATGGCTGAGCCAGAATGTACTCCATAGTGACATGCTGGGGCTGCTGTTGTGACAAGGACAAGCCAGGGCACGGGTTCCTGGTGCTCAGAGAATAGATTCACACAGAGTAGATCTGGTTTTTCAATATGATGCAAAGAACTCTTTTTTTATTCCCACAAAATGCAGATGGTTAGTACCAGCATACCAAAAGTTACTCTTTTTTCTTATTCCAAGAAACATTTGGTATAAGGAGAAAAAATGTTTTCAAAAGGTAAAAATAAATGTTAAATAAGCAGATGACTTTTACAAAATATCAGCTTCTTACTTAACTTTTCCTGGCCTTCTCAGCTGTTTCAGGCCCCCACCTTCCTGGAATTGGTTCGATTATGCTCCTCCAAGCCCCCCAGTGTCACAGTAGCTACTGCCAGACACATTAACAGGTAACTCAGCCACTCATGAAAGAAGCATGGTGAGGGCCCCAGGGACCTGTTTGAGGCTTTCTCTCCATGGAAAATTGATGGAAAAGAGAAATTCTGGTATGAAACAGAGGAATTGCCTAAAGCCCTTCAAAGGTTTAAATATTTGAATTGAGGGAAGACAACCCTCAAGCATTTTTTATCACACACCGCTGATAAAAGTTGGAGGAGATACATATGTTTACACTGATTTAAACCTTAAGAAATTATGCCTGCTTCAAACACTGCATTCAAATGTGCAATATTTATGTTTTTATGTATCCATTAAAAATAAATTTAGAAATAACTCCTAGGTCATTATGTTCAAATGACTCTGGGCCCTATCTCACGAAGGCACATAGAAACACTTGCCTTAATGGTGCACACTTGTAATCCCAGCACTCTGGAATTGGGGCAGCAGGATTGCAGGTCTGAGCCCAGCTTAGGAAACTTAGCCATGCTCTGTCTCCTACAAAGGGAAGTGGGGTGGGGATATAGCTCAGTGTGAAGGCCCTGGGCTCAATCCCTAGTACCACAGCACAGAAAGACAGTGAGAAAGAGACAGAGGAGGAGGGGAGGAAGGGAAGAGAGGAGGAAGGGAGGAAGGAAGGAAGGAAGGAAGGAAGGAAGGAAGGAAGGAAGGAAGGCTGGCTTGCCTTAGGTCAACACATCTCCCCTGTAAAGCCAGATAGTAAATAATTAACTTTTGTGGGTTCCCTTTGTCCCTGTTACCCATTCCTTGTGTTGTTAACATCTCTATAAAACTATAAAGACTATGCTTAGCTCTGGGCCTAGTAAAAACAGGTGCCTGGGCAGATATGGCCCACTGGCTGTACCTGGCCTCTGGCTTAGGGCCCAGAAGAAAGTGTGGGGCAGAGGTGGGAGAAAGGGCGTTGGGCTTGGTCGAGCCTCCACCTCTGCTTGCACTGCAACATGACCAGGACCCATTTGATGAGTCAGTGGGTGTCTACAGAGTACCCAGCCAAGCATGGAGCCAAGCACAAGCCCTGTCTTTGTTCAAATGTCTTGTTGTCACCTCAGCCCCAGGACAACAGGCCCTGCTTCTCCCATTGTGGCACCCATCTCACCACTCCTCCTCAGACAACCTCTCCGGTAAGAGCCAGGTGCAGGAGCTGCATGAGCCAAGGAGACAGAGCCTAGAAGAGCATCTGCCCAGGAAGACATGGGGCGATCCAAGAGAAGTGACCCCACCAACCTGAGACAAGGCTCCTGTCTTCTTGCAGCTGGTCCCTCCAATGAAGACCATGTTGGGCAGGACTGGCCTGGGGTACTCGAACACAAAGTCATATCTCAACAGCCACACGGGGTCCTTCTGAAATAAGGAGGGTAAGCGCACATCTCTCTTGAGGAGATCCGAGGCAAGGTCTTCATACCTTGAATAGAGACAGTGAAACAACAGGTTCTCCAAGAAACTAACCAGGAAGTTGACCACCCGTTGGGGAAAAGTCATGTGGTCGGAGAACTCTGTGTAGCATCTGGGGATGTAGGACACAGGGCTTGGGCTGTTGCTGAACACGTGCTCCAGGGAGCAGGGGAAGCCTCTAAAGAGATACACGGAGGGCAGCTGCAGGTATTCGGCCAGGATCACACCGCAGGGGAGCCCCGGGTCTGTGAACAGAGCATCGAACTTGCTGTCCTTGAGGAAGTTCAGGGTGTTTGAGTCCTTCAGGAGGCTCTGGCAGTTGAAGAACCACAAGTCAATCACGACCATGCTATTCTTGTACTCCATCAGAGCAGCGGTCACATATGCTCTCTCTGCAAACTGAAGGTTCCCAAATGAGCGGAAACGATCTTCCAGCTCCTCTTGGCTGTAGCTCACTGGGTAGATTTTTCTTGTGTAGTGCTTAGATTCTTTCAAAAGCAAATTGATTTCTGGCACCAGCACCACGATGTCATGCCCTCTGCCACTGAGATGCTCAAGTATATCCTTCATACTAAGCCAGTGGCTTCCATCCAAGGGGACAACCAGCAGCTTGTCACCTACAACCATGCCCCAAAGGGCCAAGAAGAAAAGACCTGCAGAAACTCTCTGAAACGCAGGCAGAGGGCCAGTCATCCTGGAAGGAGTTAAAGCAACAGTAATGAATTCTTTGCATTCTCAAACACAGGGTCCTGGGGTTGTTTTCCTAAACCAACCAATGATTTTCAGACTTTGCCTACCTCTCCCTTGCTCTAGATCTTGCCCTTTGATATGAAGAAATGTACATTAATACTCAGCAAGATTTAAGCACACAGCTAATATGAATCAACCAGGCCTGTATCAGCTATCACTTGAGATCCTAAGATTCTTTTTCTCCTCATCTCTGCCAATCTGTTTCTCTTTCTCAAAGAGCCACTGCCATGCTTTGGGGGGAAACTTGAAGAGAGCCCTGGAGGGTCCAAGCATCCTTCTCTCCTGACCTGGATTCCTCATCATGTCCAAGAAAGAAAGCTGCCAATGCTTTACCTCTTTCTTGCTAACTTTACTCAGAATAGAAAGGAAGCATTGATTTCACAGGTGACAAATCCAAAGTCCAAAACAACCAATAGCATCACCGTGTCAAAATTCTGGTCCCCACATACTGGGTAGATGAAAAGTTTCACTGCAAGCAGCCCAAGAGCCCTGGTTGGGTTCACAATGACTTCTCTTCCCCCACTGACCTAGGTTAAGCCTCTGTTGTCTGGAGTCTTCTGTCACCTGCAGCTCCATCTAGCCCTTCTGGTAGATGTTCTTCTCTCACACCTTTCACTTCCACAGTGGCAGAGGAGAGCAGGACTCTGGAGGCAGCCACCCCTTCCCCCTGAGTGGCCTCCCTCCTCTGCATTCCAACTGCCACATCTGCTACATGAAGGTTACATCACTCCCTCCGCCAGGGGCTCATGCAAGAATTATCTGAGCTAAGGGTCTGACCTGAAGTACAGCACAGGGCACAGTTCCCTCTGGCTCTGACCAAGCAAAGAAATGGAAGGGGATAGAAGAGGAGATAGAAAATTTAAAGTAGCAAAAATAAACAGTAGTAAGGCAGCAAAGTGGCATGGTCCTTGGACGTTTGGACTGGGCCAGCTAGATGTTGAAGCAATTAAAAAGTGGCTGTGGCAACACGGAACAGACTGTGTGGCCCAGAAAACCCAAAAGTATTGTTTCTCGGAATAGAGGCCTGAGCCTAAGCCCCAGATGTTGATCCTTCTAAGCAAGGGAAAATCTGCTTCAGATCTCTGCCTTAGCTTCCGGTAGATGCTGCCAATTTCCGGTATACTTGGACATGTAGAAGCACCACCCCAGTCTCTGCCTCTATCATCACATGGTTCTCACTGTGTGTGTCTCTCTGGGTCCAAATTTCCCCATTTTTATAAAGACACCAGTCCTACTGGGTTAGGACTCACCCTACGCACCTCGCTTTAACTAGTTACATTTGTGAAGACTCCATGTCCAAGTAAGGTCACATTTTGGTGGGTGCAAGAGACACAGCTCAGCCCTTAGCATCCACTCATCATCTCCCAAAAACCCCAGCATGCTGCCGTGACCTCCTTTCATGCCTGAGGAACTGAGGCTGCTGCTCACGGGAAACATATTTCTTGTAACTTGCAGCTTCCAAAGAAAAAATAAAATGGGCTATTTCTAGGTCAGCTGGCCTCAAACTTTATGGTTCCGGGATTTCTTTACACTTGTCAAAAGGTAAAAAATTACAACAAATTTACTTTGAAGCTCTCCATTGGCTTTTATTTGTGACTCTAGAATTGGGTAGCATCTTGGTCCATAAAACAGAAAGAATGCAAGCTAGGCATGGTGGTGCATACCTGTAATCCCAGCGCTCTGAGGGGCTGAGGCAGGGGAATCCCAACTTTGATCCCTCACTGGGAAATTTAGAGATTTAGCAAGAGCCTGTCTCAAAATAAAAGTACAAAAAGGGCCGGGAATATAGCACAGTTAGAAGGCCCTGGTTTCAGTCCCTCGTGCCAGACACAAACAGACACACACACAAAACAAGAATGACTGCTCCATCAAGCTGACCTCAGGAAGCTGGTTTCATACTTAAAGAGGGTCAAGGAGGGCAGAAACAGAATGAAAGTAAATTGGTTGTTCCAAATTCACTTTTTCTCAAGAAAAGGGTACATTTTAGATATACATAATGATAGCATTCCTCATAGAGAATTTGTACCTGTATGTGATGTATTTTGCTTTTTCTTTTTTTTCATTCCATGCCTCCCTTCCCTTCAACTCCTCTTTCCCTCCTTATTTCCTAGGTATTTCATTTTGGGGGATGCTATCGTAAAAGCATTG